GACCGGAGGCCGTATTTCTACAGATGTGGGAAATAATTGGGGAGCCCGATACGCTACAACCTTAGAAAACGTTAAAAAGGAATACAGCAAACAGAAATCTGCGATAGATTTTAGGACACGGAACAACACTAATTGCAAACAGTGTAATGCATGCGATAGCTACTACCTTTCAATCGGAGGTCACGCAAATAGTTGAGTATCGTTTCAAGAAGATGATTCACAGTACACGTGGGTCAACAAGTCTGCAGCGGATGTCGAGCAAGAGAAAGGGCACATGTCTGTACCCAAAAGGTTGCGAGAAAATCAAAGTACGTTTATAATTTGCGTACTGCTTAAGAGTACGTTTATACATAAAAGTCTAATGTGGAGGCCCGGCTTATTACATCGTCGCATATCGCCTTGTACGCCCTGCTAGGGCTTGACCCCAATCTGGCTTATAGCAATGCAATGTGACCAATGTGACCTCGCTGTCCTTCCCCTTAATTGCTACCAAGCCACATCCTTGTATACAACATCGTCCTCCAGACCCAGACATTATACGCTACAGCTAACTAGTATTATGACAGACCCGATCCGTACCACAGAGGTGGGTACTCTACTTAGTAGGCCAGCAAGTAAATATATGGAACATTCGATAGTAACAGTATTTTGTCAACACCGGCCCGAATTGACTCAACACATATCTTCCATTGTCGACTCACTTGGCCCAAGCTTCAAACGGGAATTTACTGACCACTTCTTCCCATCAATCTTTCTTGAACCACTACAGCGACTATGAGAGCCATACCATATGTTCATACATTGTATCATACATACTTGCCATTTTTGAAATAAATAATAATATCCTTAACACCTGACTAACGAATATGAGTACGTGTATACCAATACAACAAACAGCGTATATATATAGTTAATCACACTAAAAATGAACCAATATGAAGCCATGTCAAAGCCAACATAAAGCCACGCTGAAGTCAATGTGAAGCCAGCGTGAAGCCAAAAGTGATGACAAAAAATGGATTCAAAATTAGCCAATTTAGAGCCAATATGAAGCCAATGCAAAGTCAAAATAAAGCCATTATGAAGCCAATGAAGCCAGTCAAAGATAACATCCGTGACTATCGTTTTAGTTGTCGTACCACCTACTTGAAGGTACCGAAGGTTTTGTATTTCTCTCCTCTTTCGATTAGTACTAATGAATACCCCATACAATCGAACGCTGTATATAGACACTATTTGCAATCGGCTCATACGCGACGAAATTTGGTGGAATATGGTCTTAAATATTAAATTCATTTTTAATTGAAACATTTTAATTATTTTTAGTCAGTATTTAAAAAAGATTAATCTGGTGTAATAAAGACATAGTGGAAAAGATCCACGATAAAACTTAATTGAAACTTGGTGTAAAGGGGAATGTTGTAATGAAATGATATATTTACTTAGCGGCAACCATTGTAAGAATTTTATAAACAAATTGGAAGACCTTTCGGGGAAAACAATATGGGTCGGAGATTTAAATTTCTCGTGTATTGATTTTCAAATGCTCTCTTTAATCTCATAATTCTTATGCTAATTTTTCTTTTTATCTCTTTCCTCATTTTCGTAAGTCATTGTCAGTTTGACCGTCATTCTTTCTATTCTCTTTTACTATGTTAAAATTAAAACAAATACAAAAATTTAATTGTTAAAGGATGTTAAATTTCAATTAATGGGGGTGTTATGATAATCAGAATGTTGAAATTATCCTTTCGAATTTATAGTTTTTTCGTCTCTTAATTTGAACATTCTCAACGATTTCATTCCCTTTGTCTTTCTCTTTCTTTTCCTTCATTTTATCATTGATGTTTTTCTTATTCCTCTTATAATAGTGCCGGGCATAAATTATTCGGTCCTTTTTTTCCGGAAAAGTGTCCCACTCCGGGTGCAAATTTTTGCAATTAATAACAGTCATTTCTCTTTTTAATGTATATCATTCCTTTAAATTCGTCTTAATTTATAAATCAGTTCATCGCTATCGCCGGGTTTATTTTATGTATCGGTTCCGTCATCTAATGTGTGAAACACCTTTCGCATCTATAATTCAATTTTTCATAAAACCATTCCACATTTATTTTCGCATTTGTATAAAAATAGTCGTTAAATACTATTGCGGGGCAGTACTCGGAAAATGTTTTTCAATGCTGTCGACAACAAAGTTTTTTTATATTCGCAGAAGATTGATTGCCATTGTTGTGAAGATAAGGAGTCTCAGATCCATAAAATTATCCCGAGATGTGCAATCCTGAACGGAGACCAACACAATCACTGCAAGAAGAGTATCCTCTATTATCTTCAAATTAATTCTAAGACTAATACAGTATACTATGAACTCGAAAACCCTACTAAATCGGACTACCTCATTACATGCCCACTGCACCCCCAGACTGTATCGTCCATTCAGCGTAGTGCACATCATGTAGAGTACACACGAGAGATGAGCTAAGTATTGGCAGTATTAAACACGATGCCCTCCTTACTTGCAAATTGTATCAGCCTGTCATCAGTGTAGGTGTGTCCAAATTTTGTCAATGCTTTGCACAACACCACTCGTGCACTCTTGGCCATTTCCAGTCGAGAGTCTATAGCCTCTTCCATCGTAGTGGCAACGAGTAGTTGCCTTCTCTCCTCTGTTTCATCATGGTTGTCTCCATCACCATGTGATTGTGAAGTGTTCCCCCGTAAGTCTGGTTGACTTTTCACTTTTCCGCTGCTTTGTAGGGTCTTATTTCCTTCGGATACACTGCCATTCTTAATAGAATGAATTGTATGTTCAGTTGTACCTTCAGTGTGTAGTGCAATGATTTCCTCACAAAGCATAGCATCTTCATCGTCCTTTGTGACATCCTTACCATTGATTTGCAAGTCTGCGCAAGGCACTATCTCGTCTATCCTATCATCCTGAGTTCCCTTGGAGTCCACTGGTGCATTGTGTATACTACTCTGGTCACTCTCGTACTCACATCTCAATCCGTTGTCAGAAGTCTCGATGGAATCAGTCCTATTTACCAATTCATCCCCAGAGCCCTGCAGATCACTGTCGGTAGCGTCAGGGTACGAATTGGATGCAGCCGTTGCGGCATCATGCTGTTCAATAGATCTAGCACCTAAGATCACATTGCCATCGGAAATACTGGAAAGCCCTTTCATGCCCATGTCTTCGGCATTGGGTGTATCTATTTCATCGGGGATAGCTCTGGAAACATCAACGTCAGTGGCTGCCATACGCGCATCTCTTGTTAATCGTAGTTCCCCCACGCCATCGCTGATGGTAGACGGCACATCAGCGACTTCGTCACATTGTGTGTCGTCGCACAGGGCTAAGTGCTCATCTGCCTCCACTGCGTCCGGCTCATTCCCGCGTGCATGCGACTTAGTCACAGGCGAACTTGTACCCGCAGCAATGTCACCAGTTATGCACTCTCGCTCATTGATAGATCTGTTCTGCAAGTTTTGAGGGTTTACAACTCCATTTGCGCTTCCCGATTTGCCTGGCGTTTTGATATCACCCGTGGCAACTACACCCAAACTTTGAATGCCTTTCGCTGCATCTGTGCTGCTGCAAAGTTCAGATTCGCTATTCCCGATATCTACATTGTTTCCCTCCTTTTGCCGTGTCGCAATTTCTATTTCTTTGATGCCATCGGCCAAACAGTAACCTTCGGTATCATTAGAAGTTGGACTCTGCCGTTCGGTGTTATCTTTCCTATTTTTGTGCTTTCGAATAATCGGAGTTACCTTTGGTGCTTCTTCTGCCTCGCTGTGATTGGAGAGCATTGTACATCGTTATAACAGATTAACAGAGGGATGAATCGTGTAGTATCTCTATGATTGGAAGCGTGTGGTATCGGTATGGTAGTTAAATGAGCGGGAAGGCAACCGTTATGAAAAAGCAAGATGTCCACCCTACTGAATATGCGCACTGTCGAATCAAGTATGGCATACCTTAAGAAGATTCACTGGCGAGAGAGGAATATTTTTTACCTTTAGACAACAAGTTCGCATTTGTAAGATATTTAATTTGATATGGTCTGTGCTGTAGGCGAGCGTGCTGTAGGCGAGCGAACATTGTGAACGAATAGGGAATGTATCTGCCGAACACAACAGTGATCTGGTTTGAGAAACACACACTTAAAATGTATTGATAACTTTGCAGCTACTACATACAGTCATCTCCGATGATGTCATGATAAGTGTAGAATTGAAAATGTCGGCATTGAAACACAGCACCATATAAAAGTGACGAAACGCGATCAATACGATTAACATCACGAAAAATGTTTTGTAATCCAAGCTATTCACAACAGAAATATTCTGTACTAGAGGCTATTCACAACAGAAACATCCTGAACTGCAAGCTACTAAGACGATTTAACGTCGTAGACAGCATATATAGTAAAACAATGTTTGTTTGAGATAAACGAAATACTGATAAACTAATCCATTTTTCCGCATCCGCTTATTGTATCTGAACGAGAATCTTTAGCCGATGGAGATTCTGGGCATCTCAATCAAGATTGCTGATTTCTGTAACGCATCTATAATCGCTATATATTTGACATGTGTCCACCTCTTTATCCCTTTAGAATACGAATATTTTCACATTTGTCCATGTCTCGAATATGAACACAGCCGCGAACAACCATCGCTAGGTAGTCCATGCGCATACAGAAAGCCGCGTGAGCGTAAGTTGTGAACAATTAGCACTGTCACTGACGCACACACTAGCCTGAAACGCACATTACTATTGGTCACAACAGGAATGTTCACAGAATATAGTTTTCAAGCCTTCCACCACATACATGTCACTACAATCGAGTATCTCAGGTGTGGGCCGGTTTTCTTCCCAGCCAGGCGGTGTTTGTTGACTTGTAACTTCCTCCTCGAAACCGTCATCTGCTTCACTGCTGTTTTCAGATATAGAGTACACAGAGCGACAGTTGATACCATTGTTGCGGCACACAATATTCTAAGAGTTTGAATACATACAGGAGTGCCACCACCAATCTACTCAATTTGACCTTTCATGCGTCAAAGTCGAAAATGGTGACGTACATCACACGCGGTGTTTGTACGTGCACCGTGATACGTTAGCTAATAGGAGGGGGCAATCTCTTTATACAATAGGATGTTTATACTTTTAAAGGGGTACACACCTAAGAAATTATCTACCACAGGAGGCTAGAGGTGTAGGATACAATCTATTAGCTATACTAGAATAGTGGAGAGATAGAGGATCTAGCATCCTCGCCCTCTCTGTGTCTAAGAGTCCAGCAATAGCTTGTAGATTATGAAAGGTGCCTGGGATAACTTAAATTGAGTATGCCATTATGAGACATAGCAACGCAGCTTCCTGTAGTAGCTAGAATTTTAACCAATAAACACCACAGATACGTATTGAAATCCGCCTATAACAGCATTCTGACACAAATGAATAGACTCACACAAGGTTTCGACTGTCGAGTATCTACCGCCTTCCTGCAACCGAAACTCAACATGAAGATCTTGAGAATAAATTTCAATAGAAGACCATAGCAGTCACACGAGAAATGTTCACAATTGTGTGCTCATACTTACCATTCACTGACTTCTAACAAATCCTCTGAGACCTCCAGTTGCTCTGCATCAGATATACTTGAACAGTCTTCCGAATCAGTCAATCCGGTTTCATCAGAGGAGACTGCGTTCTGTATCGAGCAGTTTTAAATGAAAAGAAATATTCATCCACTCACACACACACACACACACACACACACATATATATATGTACAGGCACACACACACACACACACACACACACACACACAC